TCATGATGATGATCATTATGGTGATCATGATGATGATGATCATTATGGTGATCTTGATGATGGTGTTCATGATGATGATCATTATGGTGATCATGATGATGATGATCATTATGGTGATCTTGATGATGATGATCATGATGATGATGAAGATCATTATGGTGTTCATTATGATGATGATGATGAAGAAGAAGACAAAACAAGAAGAATATGATGATGATGATGATGACGATATCGATGCCGATGACGATGACGATGGCGGTGGTGGAAAATGGTCCTAGCGATAGTGGTCATGGAAAAATGATGGTGAGGACGGCGACGAAGATGGACTAAACTAAATAAGGCTGCTCGTTGATTCTACAACTGGTTTTTCTGTTAGTCACTGCACGATTACGACTACGACGCCGTGCACACCAGTGAATACCACCACAACCACCAGTGCCACCGCAAAGAAGGCCACTACGAGACAGTGACGAAGACTAGGACTGATATTTACAACCGCGGAACTAATATTCTAAATAGATGTCTTAGCAATGTGGCTATCGCTATGATCATGATTTCGACTTCCGCATCATGAAACCATCAGTGCGGTTCTGAACAGTGCTTTTGTGATCCTTACTCCTACATGCTGAAACCCCACTCAACAACTGCTCAATACCCAAAGCCCTGACCCCTCAACCCTAACTCGCCGACAGCTGCAGCGAGGGTAAAACATGGAGCCTGTAGCTAATAAGTGCTAAGATTCCCCTTTCGTGCGAAATACGCCCCGCAATCCTATTCAACTTACAGAGGCCGCTGTACTAGGCAGCCGTCTTCGGTTGAAGGGATGGGAGTGCAGCTGTCAAAACTCGCAGCGAGTCGGGATGGGCTTGCATTGATGGCTGACGACAAGTCCTGGTTAAGTTTAGTTGGAGCAGCAAGAGCTGTCAAAAATCGTCATATGACATATGGCCCTGCAAATATGAAAAGTCCCAAAGAGTATTGATGGATACCCGGAGAAACCCATCCCGTCCTGCGATGAGTGGGGAGCATCGCCTGCCTCCCTGGATGCGAGTGCCAGGTGAAAGCACTCTTGGTATCAAATTGATTGTTGAGGGGTTCAGGGTTTAGAGGTTTAGGGTTTAGGGTTTAGGGTTCAGGGTTTAGGGTTTAGGGTTTAGGGTTTAGGTTGTTGAGGGTTCAGGGAAGTTCAGGGTTTCGAGACTTGGACGATGGGCACATCTCCTCTTTCTATCCAAATACAAGTTGTGCAGACAGAAAACCGACCTAGATAAACTTGTCCATACATGCGGTGTTTAGATGTTACAGCAAGACGAAGCGAAAATGAATGCGAACATATCCTTGTCTGAATGAATATACATGCGTGTGTGCATGCATTACAATCGGCATGAGCCCAGCTCGCTGCAAAAAAGCTTCGTCTTGTCACGTGTGAACATGAAACAGTAGGACTATGGCTACCACTTAGCAAGTTAAAAGAACTACAATCCATCCATCCATCCCTAAATCCATACATCCGTACATACGCCTATCCGTCCGTACATACAAACATACCTCATACATACACACAGGCAATCATCAGTACATACGTACGTATGCATGCATAATATTCCATACGCGCGGCACAGGGTACATGATGCATACTTGCGTCACGTGCACTTCCATATTTGCGTCTTCGCACATGGACACATCAGTATGCACAGGCACATGCCCACACTCGTAAACATGCCTAGACACATGAATGTGTAGGCAGATCAGCAATTACTAAAACATAGCGCTCACTGTAGACACCCTTTGCATGCATGCGAACGAACTAGGTACGAGCATGCATGAAAGCAAGGATGCACATGACGCGGGCAAACTTCAGCGAAAACAGCTTGCAATGACTTCGGCTCCTGCAACCTTGCAACTCGGAATCCTTGCACTGAGGTACTGTACGCACAGTAGGGACGACAGCAAGCTAAGCAGAATAGCCTCTGCTGCACGAGCGGTAAGCCGGCGTGGGACTCCAGCGCCATTTAACTTACACCAGTGACACAGAAGCAGCCCTAACTGCCTGGTACTGTGATTCGCGAATGTCGGAAGCCGCTGAGTCTTCCGGTTCGCGCGGGGCGTCGGCTTCGCAGCGACGTCCTCCAATGCTCCGGAACCGATGACCCTTTGCAAAACCATGAGAGGCTCTGCTCAATCGCTCCCTCTTCGGATAGTCGGCAAAGCTAGCGGTTTCTTCCAGGCCTACTACTATGAGACTGGTGACGGACTCTATGACGGTGATGCTTGTCAACCTGTTCCCTCCGGCTCAGCTCCTCCTCATCCACATCTCGCGGAGCAGGCTCTTGGCCAAGCCTGCGGATGATCGTGAAATTGGAATGCCAATAACTACACACACACAAACTTTATCTTGCGGTGTAGACATAGTACATTACCAAACATATACATATACAGGTATATAGATGTATGCATACATACAAGCACACATATGTACATTTATACATATACATATATATATATATACACACACACACATACACACACAGAGACATGTACAGATGTTGCAGATGTTCCTTTACACTTGCTTTGTGCTCTCAATCGCCGGTCTGAGTGTGCAAGCCCATCAACTTCAGCCGTCCTTGAGTCCCACACGCGCATGGGTGGTTGTCAAAATTATGGTCCCTTTTGGGTCCTTATTATAATACGGCACCTATTATTTAGGGTACCCCAAAAGGGACCATAATTTTGACAACTACCCGCATGTCTAAAGCCCATCTTCAACCATCTTGCCCACACATCCCGTGGTTCATGGCCTAATTGAACGCCAGGAAGACCGAAGAACCACTGCAGAACCCCAAACCCCCAGAAAAACACACCAAAACCCTGCCCTTAACTAACAAACTCTGAAAGACCCTGAAACCTAAGAACCCCCTGAATGCAGAGCTGCGCCTGGATCCTGGAGACAGGGTTCGGTGCCTGCGGTTCGCACGTAGGATCGAGGTTCGCTCCTCCTTTCGGCCAAGCGCAGTAGGTTTAGGGTTTATGGTTTAGGGTTTAAGGGTTTTAGGGTTTAGGGTCTAGGGTTTGAGCAGGGGATTTTTGGGGTTTGTGCTGTGGGAAAACGGGCTTTAGGGGTTTAGGGTTTCACCGGGCCTAGGGTTGGGGCTGCAGGATCGAGCAAGGGTTCAGGGCACGGGGCTTAAAGATGTTTGAAGCTTGGGCTTTGTGGGTTAAGGGGTCTGAAAGTTTGGGGGGGCTTATGGCCTATGGCTTTGGATGCTTCCGGATCGGGTTGGCTACTTTGACTGCCGTGTGTGTTCCAAATTTCCGCCATTCTGCACAGAGCTTACTTCGGAAATTGTCTATGGTTATGTGCATGCTTGCAGGTGCCAAAAAGTACTGCATGAACGTACATTCTATCTATGTATATACATATGGAGTTACATCAAGCTATAATGCAAGGTAATCTGCAAACAAGGGGTGACCAACCAACCTAGACACTTTAAAGAGAAGCCTTCAGCAGACTAGTACCACCTCAATCCCTGCCCTTAAACCCCGCTTCCCAAAAAAGGGAAAGTCACCTGGCGCGTACAACAAGCCCGAAGCCTGCGACAAGAACAACGCCTGAACTCTAAAGCCTACGTCATGAAACCCTTAAACCCCCTTAGCCCAATGTCGGTACCTGATGGATGGCTCAGCATCTTCCAATACAATACGATCCCTGATGTTGTTTGCAAGCACTTGTAAGAGCCGGGGATCTCTGATCCAAGCTCTATGACCCTGCACCAAAGCCCATAAAAGTCCTAAACCCCAGAACCATGTTTAAAAAAAAAACGAAACAAGAACAC